GTTGTTTTCACTATCAATTTCTGTATTCTTTGTCCTATACGTGCAGCAACGCTATCAACTCAGGCCTCGTTTGGACGTGTCATATTTAGACGCTGCCATAAACCTGGAAATTGTCACCGGTGTGGCCAGCGTGTATCATAGCCATTGCATCGATACTATGCGTTGCATTTACGGCAGCCATGTGGATGTTGCTTTGGTCGGCAGAGCAAAGAAGCAGTCGATTATCACACTGTCGTGCCTAGAGTTGATGCTGCCAGCACAGCTGAGTGATACCACTAGCTGGGACAGCGCTGGCCTGTTCAAGTCACTCGCCGAAAACCATTTACTACATGCTCTAGAAGATCGTGAATTCCTACCAAACCTTTTGCTGAAGGATGTCGACCGAAAACTTGAGGAGATGGAAGAAGAAGAATTTGATGACTTCAACTTTGAACCAATGCAGTACCTGTTTAGAGATGTCACAGATTTGTTCATGAGAGACGGATCGGAGCAAACGTGTCAAGAAGTGATTATCAACTCGATGGAACCACTTATTGCGAGGTTGACCAAATACATGCCTTACGTTAACCGCTCGAGGAGGCTTGTGGAAATTGCGCATTCGTTGCATGATTTAGCCCAGACAGACGCAACTTTGTTATCAGCTCTGGGACTTGAAGATCTCAACGCAATTCCTCTTCCGGATGATGATGATGATGATGATGATGATGATGATGATGATGATGATGATGATGATGATGAGTGGACGGACTCGTATAACCCTTACTACCATTGTGATATCAACTATTGCGACAATTACAATCTGGGCGAAGAAATGGATAAGTCCCGATCATTGATCGACATGGCCGCCAAGCTCTCAGAAAAGCACTCAGTTCTGAGGCTGCTGATAATGGGTAGGCTAAAGACATTGAATCCCGAGAATTACTTCATGGCTCTCAACGAATATGAACAATTCTGGAATAGTTTGTCTGAGTCAAGTCGCCCCAGTCGTAAAGTACTATGCAGCGGCTTGGGAAGCCATCTACTTTCGTCAATATCAGGATTGCCTGATCAGAAGCTGTGGACGAAACTGGAGCTAGTGGACGCCATGAAGAACTATGGAAAAGAACTAGTTTTCCTTGCGCAAGAAGAGCTACCGCTTTCTGAGAAGCAAAGAAGACCAGAATGTGGGCAAGATGACGAAAAGAAAGAAGACGAAGAACGCGCATGAGAATGATCACACCGACACACACGCGCACGCAGACACACCAACTCACGTATAAACATGGACGTACATTTGACACCTCACACTACCTTGTATATTGCAATGTTATGCATCTTTAACTTCGTGATTGTATACCTCCTTATTTTGATAGTCCACTTCGCCCATCCTTGTTAACAGTGTTAGTCACGGTTTGTTCTTACCTTTCCAAGTATTCAATGATGATGATTGACTGTTATATGTTTCGCCGACCGAGCGGGGCAAATGAGGCGAGAAATGATTTCTCGCGCAACAAAATTATTTTTCTTGCGAATATGGAATCTGATGTTTTCTCGTTTTGTTGCTGTTCTGTTTTGCTTGACTCCTTCAGTCAGTTTTTTTTGTGTCTCACCAGTGTCCCCACCCTCCCGCCCTTCATGTCTGCCCATCTTCTTCCATTTCTTTCTTGGCTGTTGATGTGTAGTGGCTATTTTTAATTTTATGCTGCCATGTTGCCACTTGGGGTTATAGTTATACACCCGGTTTTTTCCTTCATTCGTGCGTCCGTCGGCGCGAGGGTTTTTTCCCGGCTGGCTCGGTCCAGAGAAATTAATCTGACGGCCCCAAGTGGTGCTTGTTCTTGTTTATTTATGTTAGATGAATTTACAATTTTTTTCCTCCTGGAGTCTGTACCCTGTTGTTACTCATAGTTTTCTTTTCCATTCCGGTTCACATCTGGCTCCGGCCTACTACACTCACTCTGTGTGCTCCTGCCTCTGTTGTCTGGGTCCATGTCGTTATGTCAGTGCATGTGGAGCGAGAAACATCCTTCTTGTCCTCTTTTTTGTCTGTTCTAGTTTTTGCCATGATTGTACTAAGTTTACGAAGTAGTGGTTGCGACTTCGGCGATGATTTGTCAGAAAGGTTTGCTCCCCACACCGAAGTAAAGTCGGCGGAATAGCGCGAGCTCCGGTGTGGGGAGCAAACCTTTCTGTACAAAGTTTATCATAATAATTATTAGTACTTCAAATACATTTGGAATTACATGTAACGATCGATTGCAGGAGCAAGTCTATCCACAACATGTTTTAATTTTTGGAATTTGGTTGAGTTTTACTTAGTACAGCACATGAATGATGATAATTTACGATACTCTTTGTTGGCTTAGTACAGTGGCCACCGTACTTGAGGAAGTCAGTTGTGAAACAAAAATAATGCAACTACAGCGTGTAGACAATCTGACGACCAAAGCACAACATAGCAAACATGACATTTGCCCAAGGATTGCAGTTTGCAGACCACGCCATGGAAGCAGCGAATACA